CCAACTTCTTTCTTTCAATTAGTCTCAAAGGTGCTACAAGATCTCTCTGTATAGTGATTGTGGGAAGTAAGACTGGTGGAGCCAAATAGTGTATGTATATGTATAGAATAACGATTTTAATTTCCCACGGTGCTTGCCTGAGGAGCAATTCTGTGGTTGTTCTGTGGCAGAGGGAAACCCAAAATCGTGGCTGTCAGTTCCATTCATAGTATCAGCCATCCATCACTTACCAGATGGAGGAGTGCCACTTTTGTTGTTGTTAACCACCCTAATGTCGATCTTTACCTATGACAGCCTACCACCATGGAATAGACCCTGGAAAAGTTACTTTTTTGCTAGTGGGAGAATTCTGGGAGTCATAGTCCAAAATCTAACTTTCCCAAGCTTTGCTAGTGGGAGAATCCTGGGAATCATAGTCCAAAATCTAATTTTCCCAAGTATCCAGGAGGGCTTCCCTGAAGTCTGAAATTGGTTCTTCTGCTCTGTTTTGTAGATCATGGAATCAATTGGAATTCCATGGAATTGGAAGAGACCCCAAGGACCAACCCCCTGCTATGCAGGAATTATACAATCAAAGCATTCCCGAACAATGGCCAGTTAAAAACCTTCAAAAGAGGAGGTACCACCATGCTCTTACCATCAAGAAGTTCTTCCTAATGTTTAATTAGAATTTCTTTTCCTGTACATAGAGACATCTTGTAGCACCTTTGAGGCATCTGAGGAAGGAGACTAACATCTACGAAAGCTCATGCTGCCAATTTCTTTCTTTCAGTTAGCCTCAAAGGTGCTACAAGATCTCTCTACAAAGACACGCTCCAGCTTGTCAACATCCCTTTTGAATTGTGATGCTCAGAACTGGACACAATATCCCAGGGGAGGCCTGACCAAAGGAGAATAGAGTGGCATTATTACTTCCCTTGATCTAGACACTATACTCCCAATGATGCAGCCTAGAATCGCATTGGCCTTTTTAGCTGCTGTATTACACTGTGGCTTGGAAGATGGATTTCATGACCCCTGACCCCTCCCAAGCCTATAATACTACAATTCTAGGCCCTAACTTTCTTCGGTCAATGGATAAAATTGTCACTGTGTTTTACGCACATGCTTCACAAGCACTGAGGCACTTGTTTGCTTATTGTGAACTCTCCTCTGGAGTTATTCCATCTAAGTCCTGGCTGCCAATTGTGAATAATTAATAGACCTTTGGTGTGGGAATGAACGTAATTCACCGGAGGGACTTAGAGACCTGTTATACATCACAAAAATGGATGTCAGCAGCATCACCCAAGAGAAATACCAGCTTGTGTATTTACTCCAGAACCATCCATTATGCTGAGTATAATATCTAAAGAGGAATTATGCATGTAATATTTGCGAGAAAATAAACTAGTAATCTCCATGATAAATGAGATGCTAAACCACCCACCAGCCAATCACCCGAGTGCTATCGAGAGTGCTAATTTTTCTGCATTTGTATCATAGACTCATCCATCACTTGGATATGTTCCACTTTTCTCCATGAAATGCTATCTAAACCTATTCTGGAATCATGCTGTAAACTGGGGTGGGGTGTACAACATAGTGATTATGAGTCAAGTTTGGGCAAGTTTCTTTCTTTCTTTCTTTTGACTATAATTTCCAGAATCTCCTTGCTGATGGCTTTCAGTGGGGGTGGTCATTTCACTCCAGGTTTTACTCTGAAACCTATCCTGATTCATCATCTTGAACAATTCACCTGAAATCTAGGTTAAAACCCAGAATTGATTTACTAGCTTCACCTGCACTACAGAAATAATGTAGTTGGACATTGCTTTAACTACCATGGCTCAATGCTATGGAATTCTGAGATTTGTAGTTTTGTGAGATATTTAGCTTTCCCTGTCAGAGATCTCCGGTGTCACGACAAACTACAAATCCCAGGATTCCATACCATGGAGCCATGGCAGTTAAGGCGGTGTCAAAGTGCATTATTTTTGCAGTGCAGATGCAGCCACTGTTCCACTGACAGTCCCCAATGGAGCATAGTAATAATCGGATGGCTATTTCCAGTTGTACATAGATGGAACTGTTATTAAGAGCATCACAGAAGTGACTGTGTAATTCAGGGGTAGGCAACCTTTCTCCTTTAAGGGCCGAGGGACTTCAGCTCCCAGAAGCCTCAGCCATGTTGGCCAATAGTCCCATGTTGGCCAATAGCTCCTGGGATTCTGGGAGCTGAAGTCCCTCGGCCCTTAAAGGGGAAAGGTTGCCTTCCCTTGGTGCAATTGATAGCCAGTACTGATGCTTCTCATTTATGCAGTTAATTTTGCACTGCTTTTCTTCTGTTGCTCTGGTTTTTTTTATTTAAAAAAAAAACAGTTATTGCTAATATTTGTTTATTTTACATTTCCCAAATTTTGTGTTTTGGTTTGGTTTTTGGATATGCCACTTGGAAGACTCTTTCGGGTAGAAAAACTGCTTATGAACTGTAATGTACAGAAAGACTTGTCAGTGAACCCATGCCACTCTGGCTATTGTGGAAAGCTTATGTTTCAGCATAAGGTACCTGTGATATTCATTTATCAGAATTAGGTAGGCAAATGATGTTG